CATTTTAAGTTATCAGCTGCTCAGTCCCCGCAGTCAGAGGAAGAAGAGAGGTACATGGCACATATTCCTTATTCCAGTGCAGTCGGCAGTATTATGTATGTAATGGTTTGTACACGTCCGGACATTTCACAAGCAGTGAGCTTGGTAAGCCGGTATATGGCTTGCCCTGGTAAAACACATTGGCATGCTGTGAAATGGATTCTCAGATACTTGCGAGGTACTTCAAACACATGTTTGGAGTTGGGAGAAATACTAACACTTTGGTTGGTTTTGTAGACTCAGATTATGCAGGTGATCTTGACAAAAGAAGATCCCTGACAGGCTATGTATTTTGCATAGGTGGTTGCGCTATTAGTTGGAAAGCTACATTACAACATGTAGTAGCTTTATCTACTACCGAAGCAGAATATATGGCAGTGACCGAGGCGACCAAAGAAGATTTATGGTTGAAGGGTCTATTTGCGGAACTCAGTTTACACCAAAGTGGTATTACCATTTTCTGTGATAGTCAAAGTGCTATTCACTTGACTAAAGATCAAATGTATCATGAGAGGACGAATCACATTGATATAAAGTATCATTTCATCCGAGAAACCATTGCTGAAAGAAAAGTCTCTGTTCAGAAGATCAACACTAGAGACAATCCTGCTGACATGTTCACAAAACCTCTTCCAGTGTCCAAGTTCAAGTTTTGCCTGAACTTGATTGGCATTTATGAAGAATGATTTTGCCCATTGGGGTTTTTGCGGAGAAGGTGGAGCAAATTTACTATATATAAGCCGAAATTAGGCCAAGGTGAAGATTTGTAATATGGCCAAATTTTCATGACATTTGCCATAACATAATATACATTATAATAAATTTGTGGTTCATGACATTTGCCATGACATAATATCTATTATAAGGCTAAGGATTTCTTGCTATAAATAGAGGAGTTTCTCCTCATTTGTAAACACACCAATTCAAGAGCTTTTCACTCTTGTCTTTCTTTCTCCTCCTTTTTTTCATTATAGAGTATTTTGTAAGAGAGTGAGTATTGGGAAATACTTGTGTGAACCCTTTCTTTGGAGTGATCTTGTGAGGTTATTCTCTTGGGGTATTTGGGATTAATTAGAGTATTTACTCTAATTTTGTACTCTCTTTTGTACTCTTGTTGGTATAGTGAAATTGCTCCTCTCCGCTTGTGGACGTAGGTCACCTTGACCGAACCACGTTAAATTTGTGTCTTCTTTATATTCTTTAATTGCCGTTATTATCAACTTCCATTGTCTTTGTTATTGTCATTATACCGTTGTTTGGCTAAATTCCGCACTACCCGGATTCCCGATCCTAACAAATAATTATACTACAAATTAAGGAAGAGGATTGAAAATGCAACACAAATAGAGAAGAGCAAAAGAAAAGTTCTATCCTATGGTTAACTATACCAATCAAGGAAGAGGATTGAAAATGTAAGCACAAATAGAAAGAGCAAAAGAAAAGTTCTGCTACTGCTGTTCCGTTGAATGGCTTGTGACAGTTCTTTGTTACCAAGTTCCACATTCTTGGTAGCTTCAACTGCCTGAAACGAAAAACTGTATGGTCACACCAACTGAAGCTCAAAGCTTAATTTAAAAATAAAAAAAAGGGGACACACACTTCTTCAAGAGGATGAATTTTTTAATATAGCAGATATGATATATAACATATAATATATGACCTGCCAATGGAAGAATATCATTCAAAATTTTGTGGTGCAGTTCAAAGAAAAATGTAACCTGGTTAATCATTTTTGGTTTACAACCCACGTCTATCATTTTTGCTGACAGTTGTTAAGCTCAAGAAGCAGATGGTGATGTTTGTTAGTTCTACTAGTAAGTGGTTACACATGGGAAAGTTAATACAGAAAATGAAGAGATTGTCAGAATTATTTAAACAAACGAGAGAAAATGACTTTCTTGTTATGTTAACAAAATAGAAATTCTATCCAACTGGAAACTAAAATAGCTACAATGTTGCTAATCTGCTCATATAAAAGCTCTATCTGTTGGGCCTGTTGCAAAACATGAGTCGACATAAGATGGTTCAACGCAGACATTTCCACCATCTTTGTTTCTGTTTCTTGAACAGAATCCAGGAGACTGTTCAGCTCTACCTGCATCATGTGAGTAATCATAGTAGGTAAGAGTACATGAAAGTAGATTGTGATTTTAGCCTCCACATGTTGATTGTTTTCCGGAACTAAATCCTCCAGCAGCAAACTTCCTACTAACCTGGAGCGCACCAAAAGTTGTTCTTGGACTCTAATAGGTGCTGCTTGTGATATATCAGAGTCCCTGATCTCTGAGTCCCTTTTCATGTCGGGGTCGAAACTACTAGACACAGAGGTCTCTGTAGCATTTGATTTAGTAGAGTTCTTCCGTTTCCTTCTTGGTGTTACTCGGTTAATAGCATCTTGAAAGCGGATTGCCCGCAACTGGTCAAACTGTAACATGACCGAGTGAAGCTTTTCGCTTAAAATTAAAACCTAAAGCACAAAAGCAAACAAAAATTATAGGAATATGCATCAAGACTCCTTTCAAATTCCTTAGCACTCTATTATAAGAAAGCACCTCCCCCTTCATTCTTAGTGGGCAGCAAGTGGTACTGGAAGACGGGTAAAAGAAAGTAGAAACGGCTTTAGAACTGTTTTCAACTGAATACATACTTAGCATAGGTTGAAAACGTATATTTTCAGTGTCGAAGAGGTAAGTTAATAATCAGCACAATCTATTAAGTTTAATCACACTATCTCAGAGATACTGTTATGCAGATCACAGGGCCACCACATAAAAAATCCACTTTCCACAAGGAAAATTTGGTGGAGAACAATCTCAGATAGTAGAGATCCACAGATTTAAGATAGGATGATGGATGCTCTCCCCGTAGAATCACACCAAAGACAACCATCCGAAGTATTCCCCCCCAACATCTGAGTTCATTTCAATAATTCTCAACATTAAACAGGCTATTCACAGAAAGTACGAAACACCTGAGAATGGGGGACAAAGTATTGTGATATGGCAACTACGATACTGTTGTGTCAATTGCAGAACAATCACAACAAACATCAACTTTCCAAATAGCAAAATGAAAATAAATCTTTAATTCGAATAATCTAAAATAAGCACATAGATGCAAGAGTTTTAACAGCGTCACATCAAAGAAATCAATTTAAAAAATTCCTCTAACATCACAGGCCATCCAATAGTATCTTTAATTCAAAGTATCTATGAAGTCACTTCATAATTTCCTAATACCAGCGGAAAATGGGGAGAAGATGCTTCATAAGGCAATCATAATCAATTATAAGGATATTTGATGACTATATTGTATGTAGCGACCGTACCACTCCATGCTTGTGTGCTATAGTATCAGCATTCAGATTGTCACCCTTGAATCCAAGCCATCCCTTTGAATGTGCATCTTCCTCATTTATACTATTCTTGAGAACATCTATCTGCTCTTTGCATGATTTTACAAAAACAGTAACCTGCAGAAGTTGTGTTAGTAAAGATCCTTCTAATTTTTTTTCCAATTCTAACTTCATAATCTCGACTAATTACATTTGCATTCAAACACAAAGCTGCAGAAGGAGCACTAAACACAAAGGTGCACAAGGAGCACTTTCTCGAGACTCAAAAGTTAATCAAGACATCAAACTTAACAAAGCAGGAAAAGTAGACAAAATTTTACCTTGCAGGGAGTAAATAAAGATGTACTTTATCAGAAGTTGACTATATAAGAAAGATAGGAAATCAAAGAACAGCGAACTTCAGTGCAGTAGTGTCAATTCTGTAGGTCATATTTTATGGTCTAACTTGGAATGAGAAGTACTGTGAGTCTGTGACCACCAATTCAATTTCTATTGGTTTCATCCTACAATTCTCTTTGTTATTTTCCAAGATTCTGTATTATTGACTGCATTGAACTGTATTATTGTTTATAGGGTATTACAAAAAGTTTAAGCAATATAAGAAAACTAACAAGTTCGTTACTGCATACAAGATCAAACTTTAGAAAAATGTTCAACGTGTGTCACGACTAACTCATTCCATCACAAGACAGGTTCTTCTCCTGGTTTTTCACATCATAAATGTGGGCCAACCCTAAAGCACTTAGTAGTCTGGTAAGCTACTCAAAAATTATTCAAGGTCCAGGAGGAGTTTGGAATTCTAATTCCATGAATTGGGAATTGACGTTTAGAACCCTCTCCCCATCCACTACTACCCATAGTCTTCCCTGCCACTCAAACGAAAGATAAAATAAGTCTTTTTTTTGGAGAGTTATTTTGTTATATTTACTCTTTTTGCTACATTTGTACCCAAAACTAGGTTAAATATGGTCTTTTTTCATAAGATTATGGCTTTTATACTGATTGATTTAATTCTAAATATTTTTATGCACTGCAAGATTAGCGCCTATAAGAAAAATGAATGTGAAATGAGATTGGATGAGATAGCGGTGCGGTGCCCAAATGCAAACAATTGAGACATATAGACTGAGTTTTCCAAGAGAGTGGCATGATAGATAAACATGCACCACATAAAAGTCATATAGATGGTCGAACTAGAAGAATGCTACAAGAGATTTGTGTACAGATGATACTTAACAAAGTGAAAGGCTAATTCTATAGAATGATTCTGAGACGAGCAATATTATATGGGAGTAATTGTTGAGCCTCAAACGCTAACATGTCCACAAGATGACTGTCGTAGATTACGTAAATTAAGATGAATGTGCATCATACAAAATTAGACAAGATCATAAATTATCACGTCAGGATGCAAGTAGCATACATAGAAGGATAATATAAGAGAGTGTCATCCGAGATGATTTGACCATGCCTTCATAAACCTCCAAAAGCACCAGTCCATAGAAGAGCGATACTATGGTAAGTTGAAAGTTCTAAAAGGTATGTGGTAGACTAGAATCATGTGGTAAAAATATAACACAATGGAAGGAAATTAGCCATATTGGCAATACCAACTGATTAAGATTAAGGCTCGTTGTTCTACGACTTATATTTGGACAGGGTCGGGATACGTGTGAGAGTTAGAGAATAATTAGTTTTAGATAACTCCTAATTTGCCTTAGCAGACACATTATTTACAAGTATTGGAGTGAAAAGGGCCCCGATACAGCAAACCAGATATAAGAGACTCCTGTTGCTATTCAGACTAGTTTGGAATTGAAGAATGATTGATATTTTATTAAATTAAAAGGGAGCAAATCACTGCCGATTAACGGACAAACTGAATAATTGTCTCAAACATGTAATCCTAACTCCAATCTCACCCTTAAGCCTATAAATCAAGAGGTAGATACCATTGTAATAATCACATTATTAGTTCCATTATTATTTTCATCTTTAAGACACTAGTTCATCGAGCCTGCAATGAGACAAACTTATGATATGGCCTTATCCTATTTGCAAACCGAAACACCCGTTTGTTCTCATCAAAATATATTTTATACTGAAGCATCACAAAACAAGAATAAATATATTCAGGAATCCAACATCGCAGCAAGTAGAAGATAGTTTAGCTAACTGTCATGTTTTGAAATAACAGAGAGGGAACAAAAAAAGAAGGGAAAAACAGACATCAAGTATGTAATCTTACTTCATGCTCAATGCTATCCCTCTCTTGTTCTGTTATACTGTGCAAATCTACATAATCCTTTTTGTATTTCATCAAAAATTGCTCTAGAGCTCCAATGCTCTCCAGCTGACATAAGGGAGTTATGAAGCTATATGCACGATCGGAGCCTACACCAGAGGCAAAGGATAGTATGGATCACATAAGCATGAAGATTCATCAAGACAATTCACAATACGCGACATAATTCTTTCGAACCAAGAAAAGAGAAAAGCAATGAACTGAATAAGTTAAATGTACCTCATCATATCCCAAAGACAATGCTGAACGACGTGCAGCATCTTTAAAATCTTCTGTTCTGTCTCTAATTTTTGACATTCCTTCAAATTGCAGAGAAAATTCAGAAGACTTCTCCCAATCAAATGATGCAGTTTCAATGATATATAGTGGTTTGGTATATCCAGCTAAAAGCCGAAGATATTATTCCTCCCACATTAATCTCTACAAGAAAATGAAATCAGCAAGTTCTAATTCAGCAACTACAATCTCATGTCTAACAACTTATAATCAGAAAACAGAAACATTACAAGTAGTTTGTTATAAATAGAATTGTATTTAAGGTAAATGTCAAGAGATTCTATGGTTTGTTACTTTGTAGCTAAGTCACCCTTTCCCTATAAATAAAGGGTTCGGCAATTAAAGAATATAAAGAAGACACAAATTTAACGTGGTTCGGTCAAGGTGACCTACGTCCACAAGCGGAGAGGAGCAATTTCACTATACCAATAAGAATACAAAATTAGAGTAAATACTCTAATTAATCCCAAATACCCCAAGAGAATAACCTCACAAGATCACTCCAAAGAAAGGGTTCACACAAGTGTTTCCCAACACTCACTCTCTTACAAAATACTCTATAATGAAATAAAGGAGGAGAAAGAAAGACAAGAGTAAAAAGTTTTTGAATTGGTGTGTTTACAAATGAGGAGAAACTCCTCTATTTATAGCAAGAAATCCTTAGCCTTATAATGGATATTATGTCATGGCAAATGTCATGAAAATTTAGCCATATTACATTATTGACATTGACATGGTATAGAGCTTATATTGTCATCTTTCATACTTTCTGCTTAAAGACATTCTGCTTTATATATGTACTGCAATTATTATTACTTTCTCATGCCAGCTATATTAAACTTTAACTGCATACCATGAAATGAAGGTGATAGACTCTATGGCCAATGTAATTACCAGCCAAATTCTAGCAGGAAGTAGGGCAGGAAAAATGAAAAAAAAAAAAGGAAGAAGGAATTGTACAGGATAGTAGTATAGACCTGGGGTAATCCATCAACTAATATCATACTTTTTATTTTTTCTCAGGAGAATAAAAATATAAAAGAGAAAGGAAGGGGAAAATATGCATGGTAAAGAAAGAAGAAAAAGTGTTTGGCACGACTATAAAACAATATGATTGCAAATATGCAAACCGAAAGAGAAGTAGACTCCTCTAGTTATGAAGGATAATTGCTATTTTAAATGCTTAAAAAGGCAAACTCAATCTCGATTGTTGCCTTGTTGGTGGAATACAATGATGGTGTTTTCCCTCCAAAACATAGAGGGGGAAGACAAAATGAAAAGCAGGAAATGAAGAAGAAAGAAAAGAAGGGCCAACGAAATGTTCCGGGACAAATTTATTTTTTCTTATAATCGAGAAATTTGAGAGTGAATTGTGTATGATTTGAAATTCGATGGATACTGGGTTCATTCCTCTACTTAAATATTAAGATTTTGTCTGCGGTAAAATTCAAAACTATTAGCATTTCGGTTATATCTTTTCTATCCACTAGAAACTCCACTGTCTTCTAATTTTTCTCTTTTCTTTTTCCTCTGTTGTGGAATTCTCTTTATTACAAAAAAAAAAAAGAGTTAAAAGCACACTGTCTTCAAGTGGGACATTCTACTTATAAGTGAAAGTTTTGGTATACAATAGGATTCGATTACCTAAATATAATACCAAAAAGGAAGGATTGAGCCTTGAATTTGTTAGTGTTACTTCACCATACTATTATAATTATAGTAATAGTAATAACACATTATAAGTTTGTTATTACTTCATCAAGCATGGGTAGCAGGAATACACTTAATCCAAATAATGACACTCAACTGCCCATGCTTACTTTTAGAGTTAAAACCTCATAATTTCATTAGTCTTTTCAAAGCTTCAAATGCCTTTTGCAACCTGCACTCATAAGTAGCAGAGTACAATAGCCGGATCGACCAAAAGTGTTTTTTCCAACGTTAAGGTATTTGGCCAAACTTTTAGAAGAAAAAGAATATTTTAGTAGAAACAAAAGCAGTTTTTGATAAGTAAAAAAATATTTTTCCGTTAAAAGTACTTTTTTAAAAAGTATTTTTGAAAAAATACACTTGAAGCACTTTTTAAAAGTTTGATCAAATATTAATTGCCGATCAAAAGTATTTTTAAAATTAATTAGTCAAACACCAATTGTTTCTTAGTAAAAGTACTTTTTAAAAAAAAAAAATTTCAAAATAAGCTGATTTTAGAAGATTGGCCAAATATACTATTATAAATTATTCTTGAGAGAGCTGACAACTTGTGCTATCCAAATAATTTGGCATGCCATATTTTCATGTGATGTAATCAAAAGTCATATCTATCAATCAAATTGGATAACAATTAAACTTATAAATAATTTTAAGGATATGTGATTTCACTTGGCACAAAATGATAAATATGAGAATTAATGCTAGAAATTAACAGTAAAATAAAGCAAACTAATGTGATGAACAAATGTGGCCCTCGAGCTAAATCGCCCTCGAACCAACTGAGTATGCTATTGGAAAAGTATAAACTAAACAGTAGAGCTTAAGAGAGAAACATGTAGTATATTGCTTGATTATGCGTGAATGTATGATGATTACAAAATGATTAGGACCCTCTTTATATAGTAAAGGAATCCTATTTATGGTATAATTTTAATTATAGAAAGAAATCTCATGATTAGCTAAATGTCCGATCTCGACTTGATACGTGTCGAGATTTTCGCTACGATCCTTGCTCGATCACGGATATCTCGGCTTTCTGTTATTCGACCTAGAAGGCTTCCTTCGATCTCGCTCGATCTCTTTCTCGCTTCGATCTCGATCACGAATGATCTCGATCTTGATCGGCCATTGTTTCACGAGCTTACCAATCCATCTCTATACCATGGTCCGATATAACCGAAGCCGAGCCTTAATCTGTCACTCTGATTTCGGTTAGTCATACAAAATTAGGCAAGCTCGATTTTAACCGTAGACAGATAGTCCCCTCATTTTTTGGAGTGCAATGACAAGAAACGAATTGAGTCTTCGAACTTCCCCTCGGTTTATCATGATGTAAGCATCGTGACGTAAGCAGCAGAGGTGACTGAAACGTCTCGTCGGTACAATTCTCTAGGCATTTAATGCTTGTCAGTCGATGGTCGGCCACCACCGTAACTGAATCGTCGCCTTCAACCTATAAATACATCTTTCTTCATCTTTCAAACTTTACTTACAAATTTTCTTCCCTCTAATTTCCAAAATATTTGCCTTCTTCAAAGCTCTATATTCTCAGATCTCTGAATTTCTTTACGTGTTCTATCGCAAAACACTAAGATTTCTTCCCCTGTTTCATCTTTCTCTACATATAAGAATGGCTAAAACTTCAAAAACCGTTCCGCACAAGGAAACCGCTTCTTCATCAAAGTCCACCGGCATCGCAGCCGCGGCGGAACATCCCCTCGAGGACTTCTTTCCGACTAAGTGTGCCACTGCTGCTGATTTCAAGGTAGAGAACACACCCTCGACACCGGATCGATGTGAACCAATGTCGAAGTACATGTGTACAATTACAGAAGGTCTCCTCGAGAAGGTGAAAGAGGAGTGCAACTGGGTAGGCAAGGATGTAGTAGTGCCTAGCCCCGAGGAATCCATCACAACTCACGTGGAGGGGTATCTGAGCGTCTATACCTACCCCTTCATGATAGGTCCCTTAGACCCTATCATCATTGCCTTTTACAAGAGGTACGATGTCACCCTAGGTCAAATCCATCTGTCGTTCTGGAGGATCATGATCCTCCTCCGATTCTTTGCAAGCAAGATCGAGGGGCATCATTTTACCCTCGATCACCTCATGTGCCTCTACGGCCCCCGACTTTATCGTGGAGGCATGATCAAGCTTCACCGCCGAGCCACCAATCCCCCATTCTTGAGCATAGACGAGACCCGAGACCGAGGTTGGATGGGCAAATTTATCCGAATAAAGACTTCGGATTTAATCCCTACCGAAGATATGTCATTCCCTAAAAAGTAGAACATGAAGTGTAAGTATTGCTTTACCTTTGAATATTTATTTTTTCCGTTTTACTTCTTGTCTTCCTCTCATCCAAGTTTTTTGTGTTGCAGTTATGGCCATTATGCCGGAAGTGATCTCCGACCTGGGGAAATAGGTCGAGGGATTAGTATCACAAAAATATTACTCCGAGCATGCTTGGATGGAGTTATCAAGGGGCCAATGGGAGGCTCGTAACCGCGGTAATCTTCTTTCCTTAGAAAGGTTTTCATTCGGGCTTCATTATTGTACTTATTCATCTTTTCCATTTTGTAGGCCTCGGGAAGGATATACCAATGAGGCCCCCCTCTGCTGAAGAAGAGGCACTTCTTTCCTCATCTGCCCAGAAGCAGGGCAAAGAGAAGAAAAGAAAGGAGGTTCAGAGTTCTCCAGGCCAGGAAAAGAAAAGGCCGACTAGGAGGCCCTGTAAGCCTCAGGGGGATGTTATCCATGTAACTCTGGAGTCCGTCCAATAGCTAGTGGATGAGACTGAAGATAAAGACGAAGAAGAAGAAAACTCTGGATTGGTGACTCGTGTGTGAGCTGGCACCGAGATTCAAAGAATTGGACCGGCGGGAGCTGAAACTGCTTTGCCCCGACCTGATGAGCCCGAGCCGGAAAGAATCGAAGATGCCTCATCTCGAAGTGGGAAGGCTACCGAAGATGATGTCGATGAAGGCGCAGAAACCAGGCTCAAGGCTCCCCAGAATGAAGACAATGCCTCAAAAGACCCACTTGGGGTAATAGAGATTGGGGGTTCCCCCTCGTTCCCTCCAGTTCCTAACTCGATGATACGTGACGCTCAAGCTATGGAGACTTGTCACGGGGAGGGAGCCCATGGAGAGGAAGATTTCTTCCAAGGTTATTTCATCGAGATAGAAGATGTCACCGGTCTAGGTGATTTGGACGAACCGAGGAAGAGCTCGATTGAGGCTTCTTCGAGCTTTAAACTGACCAACAAATTCCCGGCTCCCAGCATTGATCCCGAGCATAAGTGGCCACTTATCATCTCGATCCCGGAGGACGCTCAAGTTTTCTCTGCCCCCGTAGGGGTGGTTAGCTATCTTCGATGCTTGGTCACTGAAGAGGACCAAGCCAAGATGGATGCAGTGGAAGTTGGTTGTTTGTTTAACGAGGCCCAGCATGCTCTGAATCGGGTAAGTTCAAGGGACATTGCATTATTTCTTTATGACTTT